GAGATTCCTTTATATCACTGAAATAATATTTGTTATTTTCACTTAACACTTGTAGGTTGTATGTCCTTTATGTTTCTCTTTTCTTTTTCTTTTCTCAAGTTAGATATTTCCCTAACAAACTGAGATTAATAAATTTATCCTAAACATTGTCAGTACAAAGCTGTAGAAAATCTGCTTTGATCAGACCATTTTCAAAACTTTCATACACCTGGTGTTTTGTTCATTTGTTTTCTGACTGTGTCATTTACAATTTAAAAAGCATTCATGTTTTTATTTTCATGTTGGTATATGTGCTAGGACTACACCTTTCTTTAAAATATTATTTTCCCTTATTCAGGAAGTTTCTCATGAAGATAAGACTCTGGTACAACTTAGTAGGTCTGACAGGTGAAAATGTCACATCAGTAGTTGTTACATCGAGGATAAAACCAGTGTTGGTGATGAGCCAGCACCTTTGTGGGAAGTCTAGGGTGAGGATAAGCACTCTACCTGTACCTCAGGAATACAAGTTGAAAAATAAGGACAATTCTCATTAAACATTTTAGGACTTTTCCTGGTAAATTGTTATTACAGGAGACAATGAGTGAAATGGGTGAAGTATAGACTGTGTAAATTAGAGAATACACCTCCAGGTTAAAAATAAACAGCTGCTACTCAGCTTGTTGTTACCAGATCTCAGCATCTCTCAGTATTTTAAATTTTGGCAACTAATTCAAATCAATTTAAAACACTATGGAAATTAAAGCAAACACATAAATGAGGGTTGCCAGTTTGGAACTCTTGCTCTACACAAGCTGCTTTGCCTCTTTAGTTGCTGAGTCTAAATGGAGGAAAAGGAAAACAAACATACTCCCCAATCTATTGATTTCTGGAATAGATCAGGTCAAAAGCAAGAGAGTGTGGCCAGGAAGCTAACTTAAACACAAGGCTTGCTACTTTTCTCTCTTCTGTATCTTATTAAACTCCCTCTTGGCTCATTCCCCTCTCTCACTAGAGCTCCCTGCCTCACTCAACTTTGTATTGCTTAAAGGTACAAAGCCAAAAAAAAAATCCTTTCTACTATCCTTTAGACTTGACAATGTCTTTGGATTTACAAAACAATCATAAGGGAATAATTACTAGGAATAACAAAATATTCTCACATATCAGTTACATATTATCTCCCATATATCATCTCCTCAAAAACAACTAATAAGGATGATATTGCCATCCCCGATTTATGGAAGAGAAAACTGAAATCTAAGTGAAGATAACACACTTGATTGCCCCAGAGTATAAATAAATGACTGGACAGGAACTGGAACCCACATCTTCTGACTCCAAATTCAGTGTCTCTCTTCTGTTCTTTCACAAAGGAACACACAAGGGAACAGTGGGGCAATAATTTGAGTTACTCAGCATTTAACCTTGTTTTCCAGAATCATGTGCTTTGTCTTTCAAACTTCCCCTTAGTCAGTATGTCACCACTGGACTCCTTCAAGCTTATTTAAATTTTCTTTTAAACTGACTTCCAAGAACATACAAAATGAAAAAGGGGTGAGGCACTTAACATCTGTGACTACTTAGAACAAAGACTGGCCCTGTAGTTTGCAACCAGTAGAAATAATTACTACATCTCTTTGGCAAGGCAAAGAGAAATTCATTAAATTACTGCTTTGAAAAAGAGTTGCAATAGCTTCCAATAGGGCTTAATGCCCATATTCAGGGGGAAAAAAAAAAAAAAAAAGACATTTTGAGTGTTTAAAAGCACCCATGTAAGAAATCTGATAACCAATTGTGTGGTAATAAACTTAAACTCTTCATAGTTGCTATACGTACAACTACACACATACATATGCACAAAATAAGCACTTTGACTCACAATTTATGAGATAATTGAATTCAATATCAAATTGAAAGATTATTTTTTATGCCAAAGTGAATTTCTAAAAGACAAACATCTTTACCCATATCTTGGGTCCAAAGCAATGGCCCTGGGGTGTTCCATGGCTCCTGCTATTAGTGTAGTCCTTAGGGAACCATCTAGTTTGGCCACTTCTATTTGGTCCAGATTGCTGTCTATCCAGTATATGTTGCCTGCTATCCAGTCGACTGTCAGGCCTTCTGGGGTAGCTAGGCCATGCTCCACAACCACTTCAATTGCACTGACACCTAGAAAAGAAGAGAAACAAACACATGCACCCATTCAAGGAACGTGTTAAGCACAAAGGAAAAGGCCTATTTGTGATTAGCAGTACAAAATACCTAAAAGTTGTTTCTCCTTTAAGAGAAATAGTTCAGAAGTGTTACCAGACACAGAGGAAACTAAGAAGTCCTAAATTTAAGATTACTGATCTTCCTTCCAGAAAACTTTAATCTTGTAAATCCTTTCAGTATCAGTGGAATGAAAATTTTAAAGAATTCTGAGGCTAATAACAATGTTGAGGTTGCAAAAAAAGTTATTTGTTGTTTCTCACTTTTTGGTAAGAACAAGGGGTTTTGGAAATAATAATAATACACTGGTTAAAATCAGTGCAACTTAACCCAAATGTCGATCTTGAAGGGTAGAATAAGGTAAAGAGAAAAAGTCCACCTGGGGCAACATGCATTATAGCTAATCAGCACCCACTCTTTTTCTCTTTTTAGAAGCACAACAGATACATAGCCATTACTGTGATTAACCTTAACAAAGATAAGCCCCAGATTACACTATTTCTCACCCGCCTCCCAGGCTATAAAACTTGCAGGATTTAACAAGGATGTAAATAAGAGAAAAAGGCATGAATGTGTTCTGAATAAAAATGAGCAATTTGTCCATCAATATTCTTATTTATCCTTTACTTATTTTTTTCAATTTCAATTTAAAAACACCTTTTCTAATAGGATAACTCATCACAGTTTATAAGATTGCTATCACAGCAATAGTTTTTGCCAGACATTTTAACAATGTGTTTTTAAAAATAGTTAACCAACTAATTCCATGGATATAAATCTATTATTTAAAATCAGTATCTTGATATATGACACGAAACAAATTCACATGTCATAATTATATTGTATGTTTAAATAGTACCATTTTTCAAAATTGCAAAGGTGATTTAGAGAAGAATTAACAGTTTGGTAGAAGTATCTTGCCCTTAGAATGCTACACAGATGCAAAATTTCAAGAGAAGTATTACATATGTTTATGTCAAAGTCTTGCTACTTAAGAAAGGTCTACTTTAGACAAAAGAGATAAGTCAACTTATAGCAAAAGATAGTTAGCTCATACTGGTACTCCTTGTAACGACATTTTAATTATTTCTTTGAATTATGCTGGAAGATGGCAACAAAATAAAAAACAAGTTATTTGAACTTCCCAAAGCTTGACTACTCTTATGTAGCAGCAAATAATTTTCTCTTGTAAATAAATTTCTTCAATGTAAGTACATGGAAAAGTAGAGTCCAAGGCTGAAAATGGTGTGAACAGCATGGACCTTCACCACTCCACTCCCCCAATATATCTTGACACATATGCTTGTTATTTTTTTTTTTTCATATATGAGAGAAGGGATAAAGAATCAAAGGTAAAAGATTAATCAGAACTTCTGGTTATAACATATTTTTTTTGGAATTTTCAGTTAAAAAGTAACCTAAACATTAAGCAAAATTGTAATGTATGTACCTCCACTTTCAGAAAGCTTGCCTCGATATATTCTGTCTTCTACAACATCTGTCCAATAAAGTAAACTTTGATTGAAGTGAAAATCAAGTGCTATTGTGTTTCTCAATCCAGGAACAAGTAGACTATAGTCTCTTTTATGAAGATCAATCCTTCTGATCTCATGACGAATAGAAAAGATGATGAATGCTTCAAAAGGATCTGAAATTAAATTTATGTTAATAGGTTTATGAAAATATTTATATACTTTAGTAAGTGGAATACTTTAGTAAGTGGAAAGCTGGAGGCCGAAATCCATTATTTA